ATGCCCTCCTGAAAGCAGAGGTGTTGGGACAGCTCTGCTTGTTCTGTGTTCCCATTTCCAGGAAGAGTATGTAGGATCAGACAGGGAAAGGCTGCAGCATAAGTGAGCAGTCCTGTCACAGCCCTTCAAAGTGTAGCTCAGCACAAAGCATACAATGCAGTTTCACTTAGTTGCAGCAGCAGCAGAACCTGCATTGTGATGCTCCTAAAAGGCTCTCGTCGTACCCCGTTTGAGAATCACTAGCATAGGGGACTACCATGCATTCAGATACCTAAGAAACAAAAGGCAATCACACCCTTACATCATTCTTGCAGACACCAGTGTTTCAGCTGGTTATTCAAAGAAAATATGCCTGAATAAGGGGAAATTACCCTATTGGGGTTTTGGTAACAAATTTCAGTTTTAAAGCTTAACTAAACTCTAAAAGCAAGAATTCTGAATCTCATTTAAAATACTGTTTGATACATACATAATACCACACATTGAAATAAATGAAAATGGTGAAAAACCTTCATAAGTAATGAAGGTCCAGGGATCAGTTTGGTTTTGTATTTCTTCTTTACTCCATTTTTCCAATATCAAGTATAATTGTAATTGTATATTCAATCAATATTAAGAACCCAATTATTCACAGGTTGAAATGTTTCCATAAGAATTGTGATAATGACTTACCTTGGTTCCCAAAGAGCAGTGTATATTTAAATAAGCAATGATTCATTTTTCCAAATAATTTAAAAGTTACAAACCCAGGTCCTACTTTTGCTTTCTCCTCTGAAGTCATGAACCTCCCTCGAGTAGAGACAGCTGCTCCACTCAACCGACTTATCTGTGGACAAAAGAGGAGGGCACTAGTTAAAAGACTATTGGCAATAAGCAGAAGGAACTCATATGGACAAGTGGAATAAAATTGGCTAAAGATACAAAAACTTTTTATGAGGAACAATGAAAAACCCTGGGACTGTTGAGAGAGATGGGAGGAGAGAGAGAGATAACATATGCAGAAAGTACAACTGACACCTACATTCTTACAATATTCAGTTTGGAGAAGAGAAAACTGAGGGGAGATTTGATAAGTCTTCAAATACCTGACAGGCGATTATACAGAGATGGGCTTTTCTGTGGCCACAGAGGACAGGACTAGGAGCAATGTGCCTCCAGCTGCAGCAGAGGAAATTTAGGTTGCAGACCAGGAGGATCTTTCTAATTATGAGGGTGATCAAGCAACAGTTGTGGAATTTCCATCCCTGGAAATTTTCAAGAGCAGGTTAGATGGACACTTGGCTGGGACGACAGTCAGAAACCATCCCATCTTAAGTAGGGGGTTAGACAAGATGATTTCATGAGGTGTGTCTAGACAAGCACGCATGTGAGGTTTGCAGCACCAGACCTGTCTGCAGTGCTGCAAACCCCATGCACAAGCATTCGCTACACTGCTAATTTGCAGCACGGTGGGTTTTTTTGGAAACGGGAGATCCTGGTGTCAAAAAAAAGAGCAGGGTGGCATGCACGGTGGCAGTGTGCACTGCCTGAAACTAGAGCCTGGCTAGCCAGAGCCATGCTTTGGCTGCTGGTCAGGCTCCACATGCCCAGATTGCTGCCTCTGGAGCCCTAGGTACTGGCCCCAGCCTCCCCTACCTTACCCAGAGCAACTTGCCGCATGCCAGAGCACGCATGCACAGGCACTCCCCAGGGACAAGTAGCAGCCACACAACTATGTGCTACTGCTATTTATCCCCAGGGAAACACACGTGTGTACTCATCAAGACGCAGCCATGAAGTCTTTTCCTGCCCTACTTTCCTATAATCATATAATACTTGACAAAATATTGAAGCAAATGTAAGGATAAACTTATTTAAAACTCGATATAATACACTTTTATGGAACTATAGTAGCAAGGTTTCTTTAAAAACAGAAAAAAATCCTTTTGTTTTGGGACATTAATGTTACCTACAAACTAATGACAGTTAGGGAGAATCAGCTTCTGCCATAGCCAGGTTAGTTCACTTTGGTTTTTTACATCTTATTTCGAACCATATGGTATTGGTCACCATCAGAAACAGAAGCCTAAAATAGACTGGCTAATGCTCTGATGCAGTATGGCAAATCCTAGGACTGACCAAACTTCTCCTCAGCCAAGAAACAGATGAGAAATTTCACTCTTTGCAAACATCCCAGCTACAGAAGTACGTAATCAAATAATATAAGATAGGAGGCATCTCTAATTTTGTCTCACAAAGGACTGATTTTATGAGTCCTTAGCAGGTCAAGCTCTAATTTAGACTTTCATACATAAAAATGTTTTCCAGAAACCTGAACATCAAAAATAATTCATAGGAGTTCACTGTTAAGTCCAACCATACATGCAATCACATATCAGCATGGCATATTCCTGGCGTAATGACAATGTTCAGAATTTTCACTAGCAGTCACAGATATAACTATGATGCTAGAATTTCACAGTCAGAACTTTGAAAGACAAACTATAGAGAGTTGATTTAGGGCCTTGTCTTTCCCAAATACTTTTGCTGGGAATGTGTCACTGGAAATTGATTAACTTTGATCCATTAAAACCTTTATATCAAAATGCAAACTGTTGTGAGAGCCAAAGAATTAGATACAGCTTCTACATATACCTCATCCTGTGTCTGTCCCCTTGTCAACAGGTTTCGGCATGTGAGGGGCACATCATTGATTTCTACTTCTGCTACCACAAGGTCATCTTTGCTTTTACTTGATGTGGGTCCTTTTCCTGGAGCCTGCAGCTTCAAATGAAACCATCAAGAGAATTTTGAGACTTGATAGTACACTCCATTATACCATGTAACAGAACAAACTGATCTGAAAATACTGCTTTACCCACATTTCATCTTTTCATTTTTACAGACTTTTAAATACTAGATACAATGCTTTCTTTTAATCGCTAACCAACCTCTTTATACTTTCCATAAACATACTACACGATAAGCTCTCATCTCTTCCTGGGCAGTGAAAGGCATTACCGTTCCTCTTTTAGAGATGGAGGAAACTGGCAATGGAAGGTCCTGTGGCATAAGAAATTGAACTGATAGCTCAATTCTTGCCTGTGTCATAATCGTCCACCACCATGGACCAAATGGTAACTATGTGCCTAAATATCCCATGTGTATCATGGAAATAATACTTTCTTTTACATTCAGCTTACATTTTAAAGTTCTTCTGGGATGCAGCTGTTCCTTAATATGTATTCATATACTACATTAAAAAAAAATTGAAAAATGGAGCCCAGATCTCACTTGTGATCTGTAACCACTACACCAAAAAAAAAGCATAACAGGAGGCACAAAATGTTATGATGACTTGCCCAAGACTATACGCAGAGTCAGAGCACCAGGCTTTCCATAACTAGACTGCTAGAAAATATGGTTTGCTAATAAACTTCCTAACGTTTCCTACAATATACATTATTTATAAATAATCTCACTCTACTTTTGAGACTCTCTCACAATAGTAACCAAACATTAACTTAGCTTTGCAATTTTACTGCAAGATAGAGAAATATTGTGTTACTGGGGAACTGAGGCATGAGACTGTTTTAGCTAAAGAAACAAAATATGAGCATGGCAGCACCATGACTGGACCTAACCCTCTAAAGTCACTTAAGATGGTATTCTATTTTTTTCTGGACACCTAGAAGACCAAATTTGGCACTCTATTCCCACACGCAGTCCCACACACTTGAATGGTTGCATATGCACTGAGAAATAAGAGTGGTGATATGTACTTAAGTAGCACTTTGGAGACTTAGATGACTATATAGATGACCAAATTATTTGTCTAGGCATCCAGAAAAGAGCAGAATGCCACCCTTATTCTCACTCTCATCCCTATCTTTTCTTTGATAGAAAGCAACACAGGAATGAAACTTGCATTTGTAAAACAACAATTTTCTTAATTTCTACCTGCTCATTCATTGTTTGGTGTTTTAGCTTTTAAAATTATAGTTACTGGAGAAATACCATAACTAAGAATTATATAAAATTTTGTCATAGTTAAGGAAAAGAAATAAAGTCCCATTTTCCTGAATGTGTCCACAGCAACCCGTTGTTTCCATAAACTCATTCGGTAGTACACAGCGGACAAGAACAAATCAGAAAATAAAGGAAGTTACACCACTGTCTAGTGTTCAAGCATTCCCCAACATGACAGAACACACAGTTCATGCTCGTCTGTGGGGATCTGGAAGACTGCCCAAGCCAGACACCTTCCCACAACATATAGTGCTGTAATGAGGCTGAAAGCTTCTGATACTCGCACAGTGGTCTGGGTCATAAAAATAGAAAATAAGGGTCCTGTTAAGGGCAAGCTGAACTTTCCCCTTGAGCAAAATTCTGAAGTTTCATAGTTTCACAGTTGGTAGGAAGGGACCTGAGCAGATCATCCTGGCAGCAATGCTTATTACATACCTTTACATATTAACTGTTTTTTAAAAAACAGGTTTTATTTAAAACAATAGACTAAATTTTACTCCATCAAACCAGCTCTATTAGGTTATGGGCAACACTATGAGAAAAAGCCTCACTCTCACCATTAAGCTGTACTGGAACAAGAGTTTAAAATACATTGAAACGATCCAGTTTTTAATAAAAGCCGCGTTGATACAGCACGCCTACTAACTAGATCAGAACAGAAGACAATTATTTTTTTCACTCCTGGCTGTACCACGCACCCCCACAAACTTGTGAATAAAAACAAGTTACTTCAGGCATTTTTTTTTTTTTTTAACACTAAAAAGGAAGAACTAGAAGGGGAATTATTTGCGGTGCAGGGTGTGCAATCCTATGGATGGCTGACTTTAAACATGCAAACAGGTCAAGACGACCCGTTTATACTCAGGCAACCCGAACCGCGCCCTGGGCACCTCGCGACCCAAACCCTCTCGGCTCATTTCTGCAGCGACGAGCTCCTGCGCGCGGTCGCGTGTCAGAGGCAGACGATCACAAACTATTTTTCGGAAAAGTGGATAAAGCGATCTGACACCTGCCACGGCCCACTGGCCTGCGCCTCCTGCCCAAGCCTGGGCCTCCACGAG